CTAGTTAAAGTCAGTAATTATTAGCTTTTTAAGGTGCTGTAAATAGTGTTTCATTTAATGATGAATCAACTTTGGCTTTCTCGGGCTGTCAAGACGGATGTGTGAGATGTTTTGATATACGTGACAAAAGTGGCCCGGTTCAGGTTGATAATTTCAATCTTACTGTATAATTACAAAGGTGGTTAGTTACCATTTAAAGATAAGTACAATGTTTTTGAAGAGAGTAAAAAGTTGTTACTAGAGAAGATTGTAGATACTTAATGAAGCAACTGATGCGATTTTGTCAGTGGACGTTGGAAAATACGAAATTGCTACAGGTAGCGCAGATGATTATTTGCGTGTTTATAATGTTCGCGATGGGACTATGACTATGGGTAATTTTCAATTAATCTAAATTGGACTAGTTTCTGAAAATTGTTTCGTCAGAAAGGGTTTGAAAAGTTTGCGCTTGAAAAAAAAGTTTTTATTGAAATATTTTTATTTTTTGTTTTAAAAGTCTTTATTTACTTCATATAAGCATCTAGTTGAAGAATTTTGTTTTCTTACTGGTTACTTTTTCTAGTTTTTTTATCGTAATGATTAATATTAATCGATTTGATGTTAGACGAAGTTGGACCGTAATTAAGAAAAGTTTCTTGGTAGATTTAGTCAATTGTCAAGTATATGCATTCGGTATTGGGTATACAGCATAGTGTGTACCTTCTGGTTGCCGCATCTCGGCTCTCAATTTATTGCGTATTTGTTTGTGTGTTTCAACTCTAAATGCTAATGTCTGATGTCTCTTGGTAATATGATGGTGGTTTAGAGGAATCAGTGGGATGTGGTACAGAGATGCAAAAGTAGTTTTTGGATAGTTTGAATCAAATATATAAATGGTCAGATAAACATTTTGACTAGATGCTGATAGTTAGGTTTGCTTTTTTGTTTGAAACATTTAAAACGCACCAAGAGTATTAGTGCCCATTCGTTTGGTATTTGGCGGAAGTGACGTAACTGTTACATCTAACAGTTCAAGGTGTCTCACTGTGAGAAACCGTTTGTTTTCTCATCGGGATTAAAGGATTTGCATACTTAGTCAGCTGTCAACGGGGTTCTAGTTTTTTACACTTTTCTCAAAATTTTACAGTTTTCCACAATTTTTTTTCTTAATATTCTTGAACTTTTACTCTGCAAGTGTAGCAAATTTTTAAGACTTTCTTGGTGAAAGTGTCACTTCTGCACATTTTTCTGGTGACGGACAATGCGTTTTGGCTTCAACAAAAAATGGCTTTGTGAGGTTAATGGATAAATCGAACGGTCAACTTCTCGCTGAGTAAGTTAATATCTTTTTTTTTTTTGTCAAAGCTTGTTTGTGATTTCTTCTTCAAATGCTTATTTGTGATTTTTTTTATAGGGTTGTTAAAGAAGGTTTTATAGAAGTTGGAATTTTTATCTTTAAAAAACTTTGTGTTATTGGAATATTTGGTGCATGAAAAGCGTTAACGGTGTATTCTTGAAACTTTCCAAGGATTCACTGTTTCAGGGTATTTTTAAACTACATAGAGGCCTCAGTTTATTGCTAAAACAACGGTCCTTAGATGAATAAGCTAAAAAGTTCAATTTATTTAGTTATGTGGGGCACAAGAATAATGAATATCGTATAGAAAGTTGTTTGCTCTCGACAGATGCTCACGTCGTGAGCGGTTCAGAAGATGGTAATGTCTATATCTGGGATTTGATAGAGGTTTGTTGTATCTCATTATGACTTTTGCTTGTTTCTTCTGGACAGTTTCTTAAATATTTTTGATAACATTTCAGATGGTCGTCTTATTCCGACTTCACCATGAAACCAAAATAGTTCATTCTGTATCTGCACATCCTACCAAATCATTTCTTCTTTCTGCTTCTGGCAGTAAAGTATTTCTTTGGGAACCAGCTTCTCTAGCTGAATAAATTGTGTAAAGTATATGAATCGTCTCAGGGTTTGTATTCTCCAATGTTAAGATTTAACAGTTATTTTAGTGCCACGTTATTGAGAAGTAAGAACGCATAAGTCTTATTGGATTTGAAGAGACTTGCTGGAAGTAAAAATAAGAGGTTCTTTGATTCTGGTTAGCCATCAATAATTTCCGGGCTTTTTGGAATTATTATCATGAGCACTTTATCGCTGAAAGTGATAAAGTGTTATTGGGATTTATGAGATGTAGTTTGTACCACGCCATGAAAATGTAATTATTGTTCTCTTCTTCTTCTTGAATTAGGTTTAAATGACAATTTTGTGACTTTTTGATTCTAGTACATTGGGAGTTTTCTTTCGTTTTTTTGTTTTTTTTTTTATTTTTGCTGATGTAGATGTTGTGCTTTTTTTTTTGTTGTTGTTGAAATTATAATTCGTTTCAGTTTTTTTCTTGTCAAGTGTTAAAAGTTTGATATTTCACCACTGATCACTTATAAAATTGGCTTTACTAAAAATGAAATCTGATGTGATTGACATTTGATTAACGTCATTGAATAATGAGATTTACAAAGAAAAAGATAAAAGAGACTAAATTTCGGCAGTTTTACTTGATTAAGTTGGCATCATTGATTTTATTAAAGTGTGGTAAATGGAACTGACAAATGAGCTACATCAACTGGTTGATTTTAAGAACTGGCAGCTCTATAATAGCTGTTAAACATTGTTTAGTACAGAGTAAAAATTTCTCAAACATTTTTAAAAGATTTATTGGTTTAGCTAAGAATATTTTAAAACATTAATGTGTCAAGGAACGCTCAGAAAAATAATTTTGTTTATTTGAGCAATGGTGATCTGCTCGCAATTATGACGAATGTAAGTCTGAGCGAGGAGTAACTGCTGTGCAGTTTATTTGGAAGGCGAAAGTTGAGTAATCAGAAGTTTTGTTTAGCAAACACTACTAAAGTTTTAAAATTCTGAAATGTTTTAACTGTTTTTGGAACTGTTGGAAAATACTAATTTGTTGAGAAAAAACTTTTGCACGTCTAAAATCAATATACTGAGGACAATTTTAGCTTGACGGTCAATTTTCATACATATTTAAACATTGACTTTGGTTTACGGAAAAACATTAAAATATGGGTACCTTTTTTTTTTATCAGTCAATTTTCTTGTACATTTATTATTTTTTTTTCCCTGTATTGTAAAATGAGTAAATTGTAGTTGATGAAAGAAATTATTTGAAACATTCGTTGCGTAATGCAAGAAAATAAATTACAGTATCAGTTTGTGCAATTAGACGTTGTTCAGTGTTGATGAAATGTCAGTAATTTATTTTGTTGTATGTCAACAACAGCAAACAAAAAAAAAAATGGACGAAAAAAAGTGAGAGTGACAAAAGTATAAAAAAAAAAAATTACACATTATTTTATATGAAACAAAAGGATTAATAGGGTCAGAAGGTCGACAAATTTAGTACTTCAACGGTAATTCCTTTTTTTTTTTCCGCACAATCAAAGTTTTTTTTTGCTGTTGTTGTTGTTGTTGCTGCTGCTGCTGCTGCTCCTGCTGCTGTTTGTCATTTTTTATTCTCAGAAGTGTTAGCAGATCAACAATCTAAAGAATATGTTTGATGATGAGATGGGTGCTTACCGAAAGGTTAACACCGGTTTTGACACACACACACACACACACACACGCATAGCTCATCAAAATCCTGTTCGATGTGCGGCACCGCATATTGTAGTAAGTCTGTGAGCAGTTTTGAACTGTTGCTGATGGAATGAATACACACAGAAATTAACAATAACACAGAAATACGGATATTTTTGGGTAAACAGGCAGACATGCAGAGAAACAGAGAGAACAACAGAAAGACAGAGCGGCAGTAACAATGGCAGCGAAGTTGGTTGTTGAATATGGTTTTGAGCAGTGAAAGAATGCACAGAACGGAGACAGTAATACGGAATTGAAATAAAGAGAAAGATAGAGAGAGAGAGAGAGGGGAAGAATTGGAGAGAGGAGCAGTAA